ACCAGAGAGATGGCAATGTGAAAGGCTCACAGGTGGATTTGAAGATGAAGAAGGAGGACAAAAGCCAAAATATAGCTGGCTTCTGGAAGCTGAAAAAAGCAAAGAGGCAGATTCTCTCCCAGACCCTCCAGGAAGAACACAATCCCACTAACACCTTGATTTTAGCACAGTGAGACCCATATTAGAATTTTGACTTCCAAAACTGTAAGATAATAGAATTTGTGTTTTAAGCCAGCAAGTTTGTGGCAATTGGTTATAGCAGTCATAGAAAACTAACATATTTTCAGTTTTTCAAGCACCATTTGTAAAGACTATCCTTTTTACACTGAATTCCCTTCGATCTTTGTTGCAAAGCAATCGACAGTACATGTGTGGGTCTGTTTCTGTACACTATTCCATTGATCTGTTTGTCTGTCTTTACACCAGTGTTACATTGTCTTAATTACTGTAACTTTATAATGTCTTGAAATTGGGTAGTGTTAAGTCCTCCAATTTTTTCCCTCTTTTTCTTAGTTGTTTTGGATTTTTTAGTTTCTTCACATTGAATTGGTTTGTCAATATCTACAAAAAAACCTTCTGGAAACTTGATTGGGGTTGCATTGAGTCTACTGATCAATCTGGAGAAAATTGATGTCTTAAGCGTTTTGAGTCTTCTGATCATGACACAGTATATATCTCCTATTACTTAAGTCTTCTTTGGTTTCTTTCAGAATATATTGTAGTTTACACTGCATGGGTCTTACATGTCTTTTTTTTTTTCATCAGATTTAGCCTTCATATTTCACATTTTTCTAAGCTAATATAAATAATGATGTTTTTAAACTTCTGTTCACAACCCTCATTGCTAGTGTATACAAATACAATTCATTTTTAAATATTGGTCTTACATCCTGGAATCTTGCTAAACACATTATTAGTTCTAGTGGCATTTTGATGGATTTCATGGATTTTCTAAATAGGCAATTATGTTGTCTATGAATAAAGACAGTTTTACCTCTTCAATTTGGATGCCTTTAATTTCTTTTTCTTACTTTCTGTACTGGTTAGAACATCCAGTACAATGTTGAATAGGAGTGAGAATGGATATTCTTGCTTGCTTTGTTCTGATCTTCAGAGGAAGCATTTAGTCTTTTGCCATTTAGTATAATGTTACTGTAGGTTTTTTTGTAGATGCCATTTATTAAGTTGAGGAAGTTCTTTCAATTCCTAGTTTGCTGAGAGTTTTGATCAGAAATAGATGTTGTTTTCTGTCAAACGCCTTTCGTGTATCTATTGAAATTGTCATATGGCTTTTCTTTTTAGATACAGTAGATGAATTTTCTAGGGCTGCCATAACAAAGTACCAAAAATTGGGTAGCTTAAAAGAACAGAAGTTTTTTTGGTCCCACTTCTGGAGGCCAGAAATCTGAAATCAAGGTGTCAGCAGGGCCATGCTCCCTCTGAGACTCTAGGTGGAATCCTGAATCCTTCCTTGCCTCCTCCTGCCTTCTGGTGGTGGCTGTCAGTTCTCGGTGCTCCCCGGCTTGCAGCTGCATTAGTCTAGTCTCTGCCTCTGTGTCACATGGTATTTTCCCTGTCTTCACATAGTTTTTCTCTTCTTATAAGGACACCAGTCATAGTGGATAAGAGTCCACCTTAATGACCTTATCCAAACTGATTACATCTACAAGGAATTTATTTCAAAATAAGGTCACGTTCACAGACACCTCAGATTAACTATCCACTCTCACTTCAACATATCTTTTTTTGGGGGGTACACAATTCAATCCGTAACATGTGGTAAATTACATTGATAGATTTTCAAATATTAAATAAATCTTGCTTCCTTGGTATAAACTGACCCACTTGGCCCTGTTGTATTACTCTTTTTATATATTTGCTAACATTTTTTATTTGACTTGCTAAAGTTTTATTAAGAATTTTGCATCAGTGTTCATGCAGGGTAGCAAACTATAGTTTTGTCTTTCTCTTACATGGTCCTTGTTTGAGTTTGGCATCACAGTAATGCTGGTCTCATAGAATTAGCTGGAAAATACTCTTTTTTTTCAAATTTTTCTGGAGAACTGTGTATTGAATTGGTATTATTTCTTACTTAAGTGTTCCATAGAATTCAACATTCGAATTATAGGGGTCTTGAGTTTTCTTTGTGGGACGCTTTTAAGCTAAATTTAATTTCTTTGATATATGGTTATTTAAGTTATCTACTTATTCATGGGTGAAATTTCGTTCATGTCTTCCAAGGAATTTGTCCATTTTAAGTTGTCAAATTTGTTGGCATAAAATTGTGCATAATATTCCCTTATTATTCTTTTTACCTATCTATAATCTATAGTGATGTCACTTCTCTTGTTTCTGCTAATACTAATTTGAGTCTTATCTGTTTCCTTATTGCAGTCCAGCTAGAGGCTTATCAACTTTATTGATATTCTCAAAGAATTTTCTTTTAGTTTCACTGATTTTTCTCCTTGTTTGTTATATATTTAATTTTTTAATGCTCTAATCTTTTAAACTTTCTATTCTTCTGCTTTGGATTTCTTTTGCTCTTACGGCAGAACAGGAGATCAATGATTTGAGACTTTACAAAATAGGAATGTTAGTACTACAAATTTCCCTCTATGTACTGTTTTAGCTCTGTTTCATAGATTTTTTAAATGATGTTTTTTCATCTTTATTCAGTTAAAAATTCTTTCTAATATCTCCACTGAGTTCTTAGTTGATCATGGTTATTTAGAAGTATTTATTTAGTTTTCATATATTTGGGGGATTTTTTCATATATTTGTTATTAATTTTTAGCTTAATTCGTGGTGTTCAGAGAATGTTGCATGCTTTTTAAGAAAACAACTGAGGCATAATTTGCATACAATTTGCATGATATTAATCTTACATTTTTCAAAACATGTTTTATGGCTTAGCATAGAGTTTATCTTGTGTACTTGAAACCTGTGTACTTGAAGAAAAATGTATATTTGCTATTATTGAGTGGAACATTCTATAAATGTCAGTTTATAGAATGTTGGCTGATAGCATTGATCAAGTCTTCCATATCCTTATTGATGATCTGTTTCCTTATCTATTATTGAGCAAGATAGATGTTAAAATCTCTGACTATAATTTTGAATTTATCTATTTCTCTTTGTTCTGTTCTATCAGTTTTGCTTCATATATTTTGAAATTTTCTTAGATGCAAAAAATTTTAGGATTGTTGTGTGCAGTTGATTAACTGAAATGTCCCTTTTTATCCCTAGTAACAGCTTTTGCTAGGAAGTCTTTGTCTGATATTAATATAGCCATGAACATTTAAAACCTTAATAGAAATTGCCAAATTTCCTTTCAAAAAAAAATGTGTCATTTCATAAGTTTTTCCCCCATTCTGGTCCACATCTATTGAAAAATTGGTATGAACTTTACTCTAAACATGTTTCCTCTGAATTTGAGATGAGCTAATGCTCTTGCCTGGCTTTCCAGGTGGTGCTAGTGGTAAAGAACCCACCTGCCAATGCAGGGGACATAAGATACACAGCTCCGATCCCTGGGTTGAGAAGAAGGGCATGGCAACCCTCTCCAGTATTCTTGCCAGGCATGGACAGAGGAGCCTGGCAGGCTATAGTCCATAGGGTCACAGAGAGTTGGACTCGACTGAAGTGACTCAGCACACATGCAATGCTGTTGCCAGGCCTCTGGTTCTCTGTCGGCACAATGGTGCCAGTTCACAGCAGCTCTGCCATCATGTGTATGTGTGGGAGTGCCGGACAGTGTCAGCTTAGGGTAAAAGGGAAGGCAAAACTTAGAAAAGACAAATGAGAAGTACTTTTATTGTCAGGGAAGGTGGTAAGGAAAGGGACATCTGGTTGCTTTAAGGCAGTTCAAGCTATTTGGACCAGATGAATTAGATCTCATGGCAATGAACTTGTGATGTCAGAGTCTCTATTAATAATTTTTAAGAAGTGGGGCCTGATAGATGTACCCAACATTGAAGACAGGCAACTGTACTTATTTTTTTCAATGGGTGAAAAATAATTGTGACATTCAGTAAGGAAAGTAAGGAGTACAGGGAACCAGAAAGGGTTCACTAAAAATGCATTTAAATCTATTTGCTGTTAAGAGTTAGCTGGTTGTAGATCTGGAGAGGTTCCAGGTGCTTTACCTGGAGAGAGATGGAACCAAGTAGGTTACCAGTGATGACAGATCTGGGAGGTTCTGGCTGGTGGGTAGCAGTCCATCAGTTTTACACTACACCATCTGATTTTCCTATTAGGTGTGCTTTTAACACATTAGGTCAGGCCACAGCCTCTCCATCTGTCTGGATGAGGTAGCAACAACAGCCTCCAACACACCACATTAAGTACTCAGGTCTAAAGAGCCTCTGTTTTGTAAGCTTTGCAGTCACTAGGACTATAAACAGAATACTGGCTAATTATTGTTTAATTATTGCTTAAAAACCAATTGGCACAATACAATCACTGCATTAATTACCCCATACAGCATCTGCTTTCTTTTTTGAGGTCTTCCCCGTTCCTCTCCTGTCCCTCCCCCCACTTTAATTGAAATTCAGCTTGCTGTAACACCTCCTTTCTCCTGGCCAACTGGATCTCTCCATTCACACGAGGGAGAAGAACAAAACATAGAAGGCCCCGGGGATTAGGGAGTTTGACAACTGTCCAAGAGGAGCGTTGAGACACTGGCCAAGTACCGAGGCAGGACAGAGACAAATGAGAGACAGAAGAGAGTCACGGAGGGAAAGATAGGCAGGGGCACATCGCGAGAGAAATGCACTGGACAAAGAGTCACTGAGACAGGCAGCGATGTTTAAAGGGGCGCTGAAAAGGGGGGAAAGGAAGAGAAAAGCTTTAAAAAAAAAAGAGAGAGAGGAACCAAGGAGAGTTGGTGAGGAAAATGCGAAAGGCCCAGGAGGTCAAGGAGACAGAAGGGAGCTTGTCGAGAAGGAGAGGGGAAAGTCCAGCCTCTAGGGAGAGATCAGCCCATCTTGGGGGACAGGCAGCTAGAGCGGGGCGCGGCTCACACACCTGAGAACAGGGTGGGGTGGAGGAGGCGGCCGCCGCCAGGCGGGAGTAGGACCAGTGCTAGGGGCGAGGCTGAGCACGCGGGGCTCAGGCGTCCGAGCCTCCTGGGCAAGCCCGGCGTGCGCCCGGCGGCCCGGGACTCGCCCGGCGGCCCCGCCCCCTCCCCGGCCGCCTCCTTCGCCGGGGCTTTTCCTGCGGGGCTCAGGAAGCCGGCCTAGCACAGCCGCGAACAATAGCTCCGGGCCCGGGCTTGGCTCCTTGGAGAGGCCGGCGCGGGGAGGCGGGGGGAGGGAGGCGTCCGCGCCGCTGGTGGCCCGCGGCGAACCCCCGGCCCGGGCCGAAGCTTCAGTGGAGCTCGGCGCTGCCCGGGGCATTGTTGGCCGGGACTGAGAGCGGGAGCCGGGGGAGGAGCTGCGAGGCGGCGGCGGCGGAGGGAGCCAGAGGGGGAGCCAGAGAGCGAGCGAGGGAGGAAGGCTGAGAGCGTGCGGGCGATAGAGCGAGGGAGGGAGGAGGTAGAGAGACAGGGAGGGTGGGAGGGAGGAGGAAAAATAAAGAGGAGAGCCGAGCAGGGCTGAACAATAGAGACAGGCAGACGGGCGAGAAGGAGAGCCAGCTGCCGCTGCTGAGGGAGAGCGGGCGCCCAAGCAGCTCGGACCCCGGTCCGGGCAGACCGCAGGCGGCCAGCGCCCCCCGGGGAAGGCGGACCATGGGGGAGCCCGCGGCAGGCGCCCCCAGCCCGCCGTGCGCCTCCGCCTGAGGGAGCCTCGGCGTCCTCTGCCCCAGCCCAGCCGCCCCGGCCGGCCGCCCTCGAAGCCCGGTGTCCGCAGCCCAGCGCCCTCCGCCCACAGGGCGCCAAGCAGCCGTCGGCCCCGGGCTTGGCCACCCCCCGGCTGCCCGTGGACGCCCTCCCCCAGTCATGAACCCCCCGGAGGGGGCAGCGGAGGAAGGAGGAGCCGCCGACTCGGACGTGGACGCCTTTTTCCGGACAGGTAAGCTGGGCAGGGCGCGGGGAGCTGGCGGGGGGGTGGGGTGGGGGGGTGCTGCCCTGGACGCGGCTTCTCGGACAAGTTTGGGGAACGAGACTGTTGCTGGGGCGGGCGTGTTGGGGGGTGCTGTCCCCCTCGTCGTCCGGGCCGGAGTTGCCGCGATTCTTGTTGTTATGGCAGTGCTGGTTGCATTTTGGAGAGGGGTGGGGGCTGGGAGCTTGGCGCCCCTCGGCGTTCACCCCACTTGCGGGAGTCTGTGTGGGGAGGCGGGAGGCGGTCCCCGTGGGCCGCCTTCTCCCGGAGCGCGGGGATGGGGCGAGGTTGGATCACTTTGCAGCGCGCCGCTCGCGCTCCCGGCTCCCCCTGCCCCTCCCTCGGCTCCCCCCTCCCCCTAGCGCCTGTCAGCCTGGCTCTGGCCGCCCCGCGCCCGCACCCCTGCTCCGGGCCAGGGGCCCCGGGCCCTGATATGCGAAGAGGGACCGGGAGTCGCACAGGCTGCAGCCTGACAGTCAGGAGCGGGGCGGACGGTGGACCGCGGAGCCTGATGCTTGTGAGGAGCCGCGTCTCAGACTTAAGAGGCGGACTCGGCTGGGAGGGCGGTGGGCGCCTGGGACTCTCGTCCTTGTCCTCCTCTTCTCCAGTGATAGGAACGCAGGAGCTTTTCATAAGAATCACTCATTCTGGACGTGTGAGTTAGCGTCCCCCTCATACACACCCACTGAATCTTTGCTTGCCTGTGGTATGTAGAGCTCCCCCGCCAGACCTGCTTTCACGGTTGTTCTTTGCCCCCGCCACCACCCAGTCCTGGGTCTGAGTCGCAGGTTCCTTGGCTGCACAGCCCCTTTCCCAGAGCAGATGCCGACCACCCTCCTCTCCCACCACCTGTGGCCCTGTTTCTCTGATGACCAGGGTTTCTCCATCTCCTCTTGACCTGTGGCTTCCACCAACTCGGTAGGTAAAGCTCCCCATCTTCCGTATCTGGAACCATTTTGTCTGGAATCTTTGTCCCAAAGAGTTCCAAAGTTATGGGGACCCCCTCTTTCTGTAAATTGGATTAAAGCACATGAACTGGTGGGGTCAAGGAGCAGGTTAGCTCTGGAGGCTCCCTGCACACCCATCTGTTTCCTAACCTCATTGCCCTGCCCTGGAGGTCATCTGAGGGGAAGGGGTGGGGTGCTTTGTTGGGGAGATTTGTGGCATTAGAAGTCAAGAGTTGGTCGACCCATATGTTCATTTTCTAGTTGATCTGAGGAGTAAAGAGATGGAGGACAGGAGCTGATGCCAGAGCCTGGAGAAAACAGAAGGAGCCCCTGTTATCCTACCCTGCTTCTCAGGGCTCAGCCTTGTCTCTAATATGCACCCCCGCCCCCACCCCCGCCCCTGCACACTCAGACATGCACTGCCCAGGAACCAAAGCACGAATTCTAAAAACGTGCCTGACCTGAGTTTATAACCTTAGTTTATAGTCTAGAAGAGAGGTTCTGGGGGTTAAATCATATCTGGAAACATTCACCAGGATGTCTTCCCTGACACCCCCACCTTCCCCCACTCCTGCCTCTCATCTGGCACAAAAGTCTGCCTTTCCTTAGTTCTGGGGAAAACTCTTGAAGTATAAGCTTTCCCACCTTCCCTTTCTGGATCCACTTCTATCTTTTGGCACCCATTCCTCCTTCCCTTTTTCTACCATCCAAACACTAGTTCCTGTCCATTCTCTGTCCCAGGCACTTGGAGCAGATCTCAGTTTCTGGATGCTTGCTAATTTCTGACAAATGAATTCACACAGTGTTAATGGTGTTAATGACCTATAATGGTCCAATGTGTTACTTTTCCCAGGGCCTTTCAAAATACAACATGGGACTTACATTGTCTAGCTCTGGCTCAAATCACAGAGTAAAGAACAGACTGGGGACTGTCTCCTGTGGAATCCTGCTGGGGGTATTCTCCTTCCACCTTGGGGAGCCTTATGCAAGGGGGGTGGGGGGGTGTCGGCTAGGTTTGATGTGCTCTTCAAATCAGAGAAGGGTGAAATCTACAACAGATAAGGCTGGAAATGACTGACAAAGTGTAACAAGTTATAAGAGGGGAGGCAGGCTATCTGTGGTAGGGTCTAGGATCACCACCCGCCTGAGTGGCCCTCTGTGCTCTGCTTTCTGATCTTACTCCCTTCCAATCTCTAGCCTGGGGATTCTTAAACCTGGAAAAGACCATATTTCTTAATTGTCTCCTTTCTGATCCCCCAATCTTTATGGAATATAGCGCTCTACACCTGGTAGGTTGGGCAGATTATAAATTTATTTAGTCGAACCACTGAGAAAGCTTCAAACATATTTTCAAAGTCCCTGGGGCCAGGGTTACCCCCTACTTTCTGGTGGAAAATTTTGCTTACACAAAGACCAGACTGGCAATTGCTTTGTCAAAACTTTGGCGTACTCTGCCTCTAATTAGGCATGTTTCGACTAATTCTGTCATTTTGGTTCCTTGTCCTCTTCTGATTATTTTGGTACTTAAGTTCTTTTGGTCATGGGTTAAGCCACATTCTCTAAATCCTGTATCCGTACACGTACATGGATAGACAGACACACGGAGAAGGGCACACACACCCCACACTCCAATCTTACAGACTGGTGTATTCTGTATTGTCTTTCTGGGAACTCTTTGATCCAAGCCTGGGAAAGTGTGTCACAATAATTTTATTGATCATGGTTACAAGGCAGAGGAGGGGAAATATGGGAACTCAGAATTGGGAACAGAAAACCAACAAGGACTTTTCAGCTCCTACTAAGGAACCTTCTGCTGTCCAGGGTGCTGTGGGATAGAAACGTTCAACGTGGTCTCTATCCTCCAAGAGCTTTTAAAAGAAGATTGACAATTACTGCTCAATTAGAGATTAATTAACTGCTGAACATTATGGTGCTCTAAGATAAGAAGTTGGCAGAACTACAGAGGAGAGGGACTGAGGGTGGCCTATGAAGGAGAGATGGAGGGTAGGAGGAGAATCATGGACAAAATCTCAGGGAGGTTGAGGCATTGACATTGAGGATGTCCGGAAGATGGAGCAGAAAGTGTAGGGGTGGGAGGAATGGGAAACAGAGTTTGTTAAGTAGGACAAGACCAGATAGGGAGAGTCTTGGAAGCCCAAGAGAGAGGAGATTGGATTTGATTCAAGATTGGTAGGGGGTCATTTTAGGTTCTTGATCAAGGGCACATCCTGAAGAAAGTGATTTTGGAAAGGTTTATCTGGGGGGTCATACAGATGGTGTTGATAAGAGAGAGAAAGAATCCAAATGCAAAAGTGACTCAGACTGAGGGAGGGGGGCTTGGCTGGGTTAGTGGCAGAAAGAATGGGGACTCAGGGACCACTCGGAGAGAAAGGCATTGTCAAAGGCATAAATATGGGGATTTATTGACAAACTTGTTGTAGGTGGGAAAGAAAATTAAGCCCACAAGAAAATGGGAGTAATTGGGTTGAAAGCATAGAGGACCAACTGTGTCTTGATTGATGCACGCTGGTTGAGGATAGGAGCTGGGTTTTGCAGGGCAGATAATGCTGTTCGCTTTGGATGTGGAAAATTAGAGTTGATTGAGGAGCATACAGGTGGAATCAGTTTGTGGGAGAAATGGGACTCCAGACAGGGGCAAAGGCAGGAGATTAGGGCTGGCCTTGGAAGCCTTCTGCATCGAGGCTTGCTGCAGCTGAAGCTTGTGAATGCATCGCTCTCAGAGGGAAGGCGTAGAGGGAAGAGGAGAGGGCTAAAGTTAGAATTTGGGGGAGAAATCCTTGTTTAGAAAGTGGCAGCAAAGGAGACTTGATCCTAGAGACCCCAGGGAGTCAGCGTGGGTTCTGATGTGATGACAAGCTACAGACAGGTTGAACAAGAGGAATGCCAGGTAAGTGTCACTGGATGTGATAGAAAGAAGGCCACTGTGAGCTCTTGGGAGCACAGTATTAGAAGAGGCATTCGGGGTAGGCATTTGGGGTGGGTAGGAGTTTACTGGTGAAAGCAAAAAGAATTTGAGTGCTAGTCAGACAGGATATTAGCATCAAGAAAAAGTTTCTGTTTTTTTTGTTGGAGAGTCAGAACAGCTTTAGATGTGGAAGGGAGGGAGCTTCTGGGCAGGAAGAACTGAAGATGCTAGATTGATGGAGTTCGATAGCTGAAGAGGTGAGACAGAGGAGGTTCCCTAGTAAAAGTAAAATTTTGGCTTTGGTGAACCGAGGAGAAACCTCTTTATCTAAGACTCAAAGGAAAAAAAAAATCAGAGGATAAATTTAATGAAATCGATGTGGAAATATCTTATATATTTCTGTTGAGCTTTGGTCTTGTGAGTCAAGACATTTTTAATTGGATTGTTTTCTATTACTTGGACTTTGGTCAGCCTCACACTCA